CTCGGTTGTTGGTACTTGTAGAAAAAGAGAATAGCCCTCTTCTATTGAACCACAACGACGCCCAAATTTAATTTAGGACCAAAAGAGATGTAAACCACATACTTTAGAATATGTAAATGCTTAATTAGTATCTATACTATTAAAGCTGAAGTACAAAAAATTAGTATTTGGAAACATGAATAGGTATTTAAAATTATAATGATTGGAAACAATGATAGCCTACAAATCTAATGGACTTATTTATTAAACTAAAGATTACTGCGGCCCAAAGTATCATTATTATTGTTTTTGGGTTTCTATCATTGATATTATTTTATTTCTGAAAATTATTTATACATATATGTATTCATGTTTTAAATGTATTTAAAATAAATCAAGAATAATATATATTTTATTATATAATTTATATTGACTATTGTTATAAATTTTTAACAGTGATATACTAGCCTTTCAATTCTTCATTAAAAATTAACTTAAAATTTGAATAAATTGTTTAATGTATATAACTTTGCACCAAAGTTAACAAAAAAAAAATTATAAACTATTAATAAAATGTTTACGGGTCACAATATTTTGCGACGCCCCTGTTACACAATACAATGATGAAATACAATGTTTAAATAATGTACTATTACTTAGTCAAATTAGAACCATTAGATTGTAATTTTTGAAATGTTTATATATACCATAAAAACAAATACCCGCCCAGTCGGGCGGGTTATGATCTAGTTATTTATTATATAGCGATCATGTTTTAATGGTATTTACATAGATGAAACCAGGAGAAGCAAAATACATGTTTCTTAGTTATAGGCAGTACTGGTTTATACGTCTCTAGAATGTGTACGTATATTGTAACGCCCCGACCGCCCACGGCTAATGGGCCACCCACGCCCTTTCTCTCGGCCCGTGGGCCCATCCCGTTCCAACGGCCGGTCCGTTAATTTTCTAAGGCTCCAGAGTCATGTTTACTGACCCTGCAATCACCACCCGACCTTTCCCCGTGCTTTGGCCTCACTTACACGGTATCGCAAATCACTTCCCGATAGGTCACCCATCCTTTGACTACTCCAGCTCAAGCACGCTTAACTCTGGAGTTCTCTCTGGATGTGCTCCCGAAAAGGTAAGTGCACTTTGGTGACATAGGTAGCCAAATCAATTCCCTTAAGCCTTTCCATATATCACAACTCGGGATGTTACAATTCACCCCCTCTCAAAGAACGTAACGTCCTCGTTGCGCCCCACGACAGGTCTCAAGACGCCTCTCAGGTCAGAACTGAGATGGCTAACCAGCTCTGATACCACTTGTAACGCCCCGACCGCCCACGGCTAATGGGCCACCCACGCCCTTTCTCTCGGCCCGTGGGCCCATCCCGTTCCAACGGCCGGTCCGTTAATTTTCTAAGGCTCCAGAGTCATGTTTACTGACCCTGCAATCACCACCCGACCTTTCCCCGTGCTTTGGCCTCACTTACACGGTATCGCAAATCACTTCCCGATAGGT